CGGTTTCTCCAGTCTCCTTTAGGCCAGTAAATCTGGTCTTTTTTTTGTGAGTTCGAATTCTGTTCTACATCCTTTTACAGCTCTGTCCAGGACCCTCTATTGTGATCCCGATCAGAGCAGTCAGTGGTGGTAGCTGGGCACCATCTAGCTGTACTGGACTCAGTCTGGTGGAGGCCATGGTAGCTGTGGTCCATCAGTCCTTTGGACTGATCTTTTCCTTGTATCCCATTCTCTTCATTCTCCCTTGCTCCCGAAGGGGTGAGACCAGTGGAATATCTTAGATGGCTGCTCACATGCGTTTAAGACCCCAGATGCTATTCACCAAGGTAGAATGTAGAACATTGTCTTTATAAACTGTGTTATGCCAGTTGAGCTAGATGTTCCTTGAGATGGCAGGAGATTTTTAAAAACAGTGTGCAGAGTGGTGAAGAATTTGAGTTGCCTGATAAGCACGGTTCCCAGCTGAGGTCAAACAAGGTGACGGTCTACCTCCTTGTTTCAGCTCTCATACTGTAAACAGACTTCTTTTTGTGGTCTATTTAGTGCTGCATTTTTTGTGCTTTTTGTTTGTGATTTTGCTGTTTAAAGTGGCCCCAAGTGTAGTGCTAAAGTGCTGTCTAGTGTTTCTAAGTGCAAGAAGGCTGCGATGTCCCTTTTGGAGAAAATACATATGTTAAATAAACTTTGTTCAGGCATGAGTTATAGTGCTGTTGGCCATGAGTTCAATATTGATGAATCAACAATGTATATTAATAATGTGTCTTTAAAGAGAACACACATAAAACAAGGTTATGTATTTATCTGTTGACAAAAAATGTGATCAGAAGTTCTCAGGAACCTAGCCCTGTATTTCCTCTAGAGCAGTTCAGTGTTTGCTATTTGAGTGTTCACAGCAACTACAGAACATAAATGATGTGAATTTTGAAAACTGACTGCACTAAAATGGCTAAGACAAGGTCTTACTGGCTGTCCAATATGGTAGCTAGTAACCACATGTGGCTATTTAAATTTAAATCAATTAAAATAGAATAAAATGTAAAATTTATTTTCTCAGTTACACTAGCCACATTTCAGGTGCTTAAGTAGCCACATCTGGTGGGCAGTGGCTACTGTATTGGAGAGCACAGATACAGAACATTCCATCATCTCAGAAAGAGTTCTGTTAGACAGTGCTGGTGTACAAGGTAGAGTAACATGTAATAAAATAATGACAAAATAAGATATATGCTAATAAAGCAAATAGCAAATGCTATAGGGGAGGCCACTAATAATGGAGCAACTAGTTGTGGGTGGATATGGTTATGGGTTTGAGGAATCTGCTTCAAGAGTGAGAATCTGGGAGGTTTCTCTTCAAATTCAGCTATGTCTGTGTGGCGTTCAAGCCTCTGGCCAAGCCTTCCCACACCTTTTACCCACTTCATGTTTTCCCTATTTAGGAAAAAGGAAGTGAAAAGTTTCAGTGGTCATCGAAGAATTTCTCTGCCTTTTTCATTTCTTGTGCCAAGCACGGCTCTAAGAAGAAAGGGTATAAAGATGAATAAACCCCCGGTCCTGCCTTCTGATACTCACAGTCTGACAGGGTAGGCACACAGGCAAATACCTATTGTAGGATTGTGTAGCCGTTTCGAGACCCAGTTATTTTCTGCTTTGAATTTTTTTTATACCATGTGTTTTCATTAATGGAAGCCTGCTGAGTCATGGAGTGTGTTCTAATTTTTGGCTGGTAATAAAGATCTTGAGAAATATTATCTGGTACTACATGGTCACCACAGAACTTTTAAAGTTCTTGAATCCTGTAATTAGTGGGCGCCTGTATGTACCTCTGGACCTTGGTTTCTGATGTTTTTCGTGGTGCCTTCCATTAGGTTACATGGGGAACCTCTGGTTTTCCAACTATAACAAAACAAAACAAAACCCACCAAGGCTCCCTATCACACAGGAGACCATAAATATAAGGCTTATT